ATGCCTCAATGCTCGTGTGCAATGCCTCAATACCTGACGTCAATTGGCTGAACCTCTATGCAATGCCTCAATACCTGACGTCAATTGGCTGAACCTCTATGCAATGCCTCAATATCTGACGTATTGGCTGAACCTCTATGCAATGCCTCAATACGTCAATTGGCTGAACCTCTATGCAATGTACGTCAATATCTGACGTCAATTGGCTGAACCTCTATGCAATGCCTCAATATCTGATGTCAATTAGCTGAACCTCTATGCAATGCCTCAATACCTGACGTCAATTGGCTGAACCTCTATGCAATGCCTCAATACCTGACGTCAATTGGCTGAACCTCTATGCAATGCCTCAATATCTGACGTCAATTGGCTGAACCTCTACAATGCCTCAATATCTGATGTCAATTCGCTGAACCTCCTATACAATGCCTCAATACCTGACGTCAATTGGCTGAACCTCTATGCAATGCCTCAATACCTGACGTCAATTGGCTGAACCTCTATGCAATGCCTCAATATCTGACGTCAATTGGCTGAACCTCTATGCAATGCCTCAATACCTGACGTCAATTGGCTGAACCTCTATGCAATGCCTCAATATCTGACGTCAATTGGCTGAACCTCTATGCAATGCCTCAATATCCTGACGTCAATTGGCTGAACCTCTATGCAATGCCTCAATATCTGATGTCAATTGAACCTTGAACCTCTATGCAATGCCTCAATACCTGACGTCAATTGGCTGAACCTCTATACAATGCCTCAATACCTGACGTCAATTGGCTGAACCTCTATGCAATGCCTCAATATCTGACGTCAATTGGCTGAACCTCTATGCAATGCCTCAATATCTGACGTCAATTGGCTGAACCTCTATGCAATGCAATGCCTCAATATCTGACGTCAATTGGCTGAATCTGCAATGCCTCAATGTCTGATTAATTCGCTGAACCTCTATGCAATGCCTCAATATCTGATGTCAATTAGCTGAACCTCTATGCAATGCCTCAATACCTGACGTCAATTGGCTGAACCTCTATGCAATGCCTCAATATCTGACGTCAATTGGCTGAACCTCTATGCAATGCCTCAATATCTGATGTCTTAATTCGCTGAACCTCTATGCAATGCCTCAATATCTGATGTCAATTAGCTGAACCTCTATGCAATGCCTCAATACCTGACGTCAATTGGCTGAACCTCTATGCAATGCCTCAATACCTGACGTCAATTGGCTGAACCTCTATGCAATGCCTCAATATCTGATGTCTTAATTCGCTGAACCTCTATGCAATGCCTCAATATCTGATGTCAATTAAGCTGAACCTCTATGCAATGCCTCAATACCTGACGTCAATTGGCTGAACCTCTATGCAATGCCTCAATACCTGACGTCAATTGGCTGAACCTCTATGCGATGCCTCAATACCTGACGTCAATTGGCTGAACCTCTATGCAATGCCTCAATACCTGACGTCAATTGGCTGAACCTCTATGCAATGCCTCAATACCTGACGTCAATTGGCTGAACCTCTATGCAATGCCTCAATATCTGATGTCTTAATTCGCTGAACCTCTATGCAATGCCTCAATATCTGATGTCAATTAGCTGAACCTCTATGCAATGCCTCAATACCTGATGTCAATTGGCTGAACCTCTATGCGATGCCTCAATACCTGATGTCAATTAGCTGAACCTATACAATGTTTCAATACCTGATGTCAATTAGCTGAACCTCTATGCAAGGCCTCAATACCTGATGTCTTAATTCGCTGAACCTCTATGCAATGCCTCAATACCTGATGTCTTAATTGGCTGAACCAATATGCAATGCCTCAATATCTGATGTCAATTAGCTGAACCTCTATGCAATGCCTCAATACCTGATGTCAATTGGCTGAACCTCTATGCGATGCCTCAATACCTGATGTCAATTAGCTGAACCTATATACAATGTTTCAATACCTGATGTCAATTAGCTGAACCTCTATGCAAGGCCTCAATACCTGATGTCTTAATTCGCTGAACCTCTATGCAATGCCTCAATACCTGATGTCTTAATTGGCTGAACCTCTATGCAATGCCTCAATATCTGATGGCAATTAGCTGAACCTCTATGCAATGCCTCAATACCTGATGTCAATTGGCTGAACCTCTATGCAATGGCTCAAAACCTGATGTCTTAATTGGCTGAACCTCTATGCAATGCCTCAATATCTTATGTCAAATAGCTGAACCTCTATGCAATGCCTCAATATCTGATGTCTTAATTCGCTGAACCTCTACGCAATGCCTCAATACCTGATGTCAATTAGCTGAACCTCTATGCAATGCCTCAATACCTGATGTCAATTAGCTGAACCTCTATGCAATGCCTCAGTACCTGATGTCTTAATTGGCTGAATCTCTATGCAATGCCTCAATACTTGATGTCTTAATTGGCTGGACCTCTATGCAATGCCTATGGAGACTATTGTCTTAAAGAAAACATTTCGATGAATAATGAATTTTTACAATAATTGTTCTCATTTTCGTTTATATTTTAATTAAAATGGTTTATAAACTTTTAAATCTTTTAAGATTCTGTATTAATTTGTAGCGATAATGATATTGTTATTAAGTGAAAATTATATTTACAAATTATAAATAGAAAATCTCACTACAATTCAACGATACCCAGCATTTCAAAAAGAATTTTGAATTTGTGTGTGTGTCTGTGTGTGTATAAATGTTAATTTTTGTAAATATAGATGTCCATATACGACATTATCAGACAATAAGAGTGATACCTATAATACTTTTAAAATTATTAAGTAAGAACTTAATTAAGTTCCCAACTTATAATCTTTGTAAGTAATGCAAAATCCAAAGTACCTAAATTAAACAAAGTATTTTCTTAATTTTTAAAAATTCAGTCAGTTATGTGCCATGGGTGATATGCGCTTAGGCGATCATGTATCTTTCAATACATGACTGACGAGGCAGATTTTTTCCCGCAGTAGATTGCTATTTCTTTCTGCTGTAGACCAGTTGCCATCCAAGGCTGTAGAACACTGTCTGTCCTGCTATTTACCCATAGCTGGGGGGAGAAGAGGATTCATATCTCTGGCATGTAAGTGAATGTAATGGATTCGACTGGAATTCGAACTCTGCTCTCCAATTCCTCAGTCCAAGCCGCTATTTTTTATTCCACTGTTTGTGTAGTTTTAAAAGTATATAAAAAAGGTGTTCACGTTGTATTCGTCAAGTATTTCGTTTCAGCTGTATCCCCCTTACTTAAATTTCCCAAACATTACGCTATCAATAAATCACTCAATAGATCAGAAAAAAAAATAATGTAAAAAAAACTAACAATGACTTTCTGCGGTATTTTGAACTGAAAGTAATTTTCAGAAAAGTATATTTTATTTTTGAAAGAATTTTTTTAATAAAGAGAATTATTTTGTGTTGATAGATTTGTCAATATGGACGAATTTAGCGATTTTACTAAATTTTAAGTAGAAAAAAAGATACCAATCAGTTTAAATTCGGTTTAAAATACAGAATAGTATTTTTTTTATTAGGAATATTAAATTTAATTTATTGGAATTAAAACTAAAATTAAAGCGTCAAGAAAGATTTTACATTTTGTTAAAATACATTTTAAACTTTGTTATTGTTTCTTTTTCTTTTCTTTTTTGAGGTACCTGATTTTAGTGAAGGTATTAATTCAACGCCTTCATTCGCTCTATTCGATATGTTGATAAAATATCTTTATCTAAATAATACTGTTATGTATGACAGATAAAAAAAAAGTGTGAAAATCACCCACCTGTTCAGGCAATTGCAGCAAAAAAGCTGTCACCTTTATAATTAACCTTGACGTCCATACGTCAATATAAGAAATGTGTGTATAAGCACATTGGAAGTTATGGGTGAGTGGCGAATCAAGATCATCTAATAAATCAGAAATAAGATATCGAAAGCTAAATCATAAACCTGGATCTAATGTCGCAAACGTTCATCTGATACTGTCGCACTTTTTTTCTGCTTTGTCCTCGTAGAATGTTCATAATTCTTTATTTCATCTTAAAAAGATTTAAAAACAAAGTTTATTAGGTTTTTCAAATGATCAACTCTTTATTTTTTTAGATGATTTTAATAAATCTGGCCCACGTGGCATTAGTAAAATTAAAATTAAAACATTTTTTTAATTATTTCAATTTATGACTAGATTGAACAATAGAAACTATTTCTATTCGCCATTTCCAATGCAAATGAAATACACAGATTTTAAAACTTGTAATTAGTTACAGAACTCAATAAATGTATAAACGTCCATGTTAGCTTCCCTTCGCCGACTTCACAATTTCTATTTTATAGCGATTTTTAAGACTTTACTTTGATTTTACTCAATTAAAAGACATTCATTCTCCAGAAAATTTGAATTGTATCTGCTTTCTTTCAAAATGCATGAATTTAAAGCTGAAAATGACCCCACCACACACCGAAATGTTGCATTTTCCTGTTGACTGCCTAGCAGTCAAGGTTCTATCTTAACCTGCATAACATTGCTAAAGTTGTGGGGGGGGGTTAATATGTTCAAACGAATATTTACTCTGGAGAACACGAACAAAATCTATTTGGTGCTAAGTAAGACAGTAGACTTTGCTTCGGTTTCTTAATTGTCAGTCTAACCACATCAAAATAATTTTATGTCTTTTGTTCTCACTAAAAGGAAAACTGTAACAACCAACGAACGTTGAGAGATGAATTTAGCTGTCATGTCATTCAGTTTGACAAGTGTGACCTTGTTTGCTTAAGGTTTGTTTTTCTCTATTCAGGTATCTTTACGTTCACAAGCTGAGGTGTCACTTGCCAGCAGTGCTTGTCGGTGGAGTGAAGCATCACCTACAAGCGAATACACTGAGTCGTTACAAACGAGTTGATCAGCCACACCACACCAATGATTTTATTTTTCTTGTCTTGAAAAAACGTTTATTTTACTACCAAAATCAAAATGTGCGCTGCCGCTACATGGGGATATGATAAGGGCAATGGTAAGTTTTATTGATTTTAATATTCATTGATTTCAATATTCATTGATTTTTTTTTCTTGTGTGTATTGAAACTTTTTCTTTTTCTTTGTTATGTGATATTGTTCTTCTATATTAAAGATAGAAAAACAAAAAATGACAATCATTGTATTTAATTTTTAATCAGAAGTTGTCAAATTTGAACTTTAGATATTCTGCGAGATCTATGACGAAATCTAAAAACTTTAAGTTAATAATACTATAGGGAATGCTGTAATGTCCAGGACTCGACTCACTTCCCCAACTCTGACGAAATGAAACATCATTTTTAAAACGTTTCTTGTTCGAGCCGAGAACATCTTGTCGTGTATGTTTCATAATTATTACTGCAAATAACTGAAAAATCCACGGTTTTAACCATATCTTCTCGTGATTAGATTAAATCTAGATCTGAATTTTTAAAAAAACTATTAAGACTTTACCATAACCAAGGACCAAGAAAAATATTAAATTATTGCATGATTGGATTCTTGACTGTGATAAGAAACTAAGCAACTATCTAAAGACGTGTATTTCATTTTGATGGTTTTCCCCCTTACCTTTTATTAGAGAATCTCTTTTTCTTTCGTCGTTATTCTAAATTAGCCTTGACGTGTCTAGAATGACTCTCATTATCTTATGTTGTAATAATTCGTTGCTCCAATGGAATGAAAATGAATAATACGAGAAAAAAAATGTCATAAAATAACTCCTAAAAAGACGAATGCAAATGATGAATCCCAAACCTTAGCAACTCTGATATTTTAGATACTCACAGCGGAAGAATATTTCATTTGTATCCACTTGTAAAAAAAATAAATAATTCTGAACTTCCAAAGTCTTGTGTAGAAGAGTCGGCCAAAACTCAGCAAGATAGTCATTTAGAAAGGAGTGACAGAAAAGTTACCATATGAATCAGATAAAAAGCTTGCTTACTATCATTGACAATTTTTCATTCACATCAACATTTACAGCGGTTTCTGTAAAGTTAGAGCACTGTTAGTGATTGCATTCTGTTTAGTTATCTTTAAGTTTTGGTGTAATCTAACAAATATTTCGACTTATTAGTTTTTTTGCAAATGTGTGTGAAGCTATTTGATTCTAGATCAGACGTTGATGGGACCGGTACTTGTGACCTTTGCTGTCAGTGGAAACACGAATATTTATCACCCAGAAACTTTCATTTTGGTCTTTCAAGCATAGTGCGTGATTTCAGCCGTATCCTGAATATCAGCGTTCTTTTTTTCTCGGGGGCATTAAAGTAAATATCAATACTCAAGTAGATGAACGCGGTCATAATTTTATGTTGACACAAAATAAGAATCTGTCTTACACACTCTTGTTAATGACTGGTTGTAGTGTTCAGCATGCAAGAAAAATCAATATGAAAACAAAAATGATTATTCAGAAACTTTCAAGTGCTACTAATAATGAATAGAGATTTTAACTGTAAACTCCATGATACACAATAGCAAACAGGTTGTATAAATCGTAAGAAAATCTCGTTTGTGTTTATAACAGAATTATTTTGTGACCAAGAAAGACAATATTTCGATAGATTAGAATGAATAATAGTTCTAAGCCTTTCTCTTAGAGGATAGTGATTTGCTCAAGTGTTTGCTACCACGATTTTATCAGCCCTTGAAATCTGCTTGGGACAAAACGCAAAGAATGAATAGTGAACTGAACTTCAATCAGAATTCGAACCCCAATTCAAAATCCCTTAAATTTTCGTTTGAAACACTTAAATATTTCTATCACCTTTAATTATGCCAATGTACTGAAAGGTTCGTCATATTTTCGTAGTCAGTAAAATAGTTTCACAAGCCATTTATTTATGCCTCCATAAACATGACCTTGTTCTATGGTAGATTTATTCAAATCTGACTGTTATTTAAACTTTGCATCTTTTTATGTAAACAAATGACTTAATATTAATCTACGTTACTTGTATCAATCTTTACAGGGCCAACATGCTCACACAAGGGCCCTGACATGAAACAACTATAGTTGTACCAATGTAACCCGTTAATCGATCACCATCTTTCTGAGAATAAAGTAAATGTAATTAATGAAAGTCCTTTATTTTTTTGGAGAGACTATTTAACTAATTTGATGACACAAAACTCATTCTCATTTCAGCCTATTCCCTGCGTTAATTTTGATTGTTATGGCATAAATACTGGTTTTCATTTTCGTAGGACCCAAAGCATAGTTTTAATACTGCTAATTTTTTTCTTCTTCTATAAACTGCTAACATCTAATGAAACAAAATTACACCAGCTGAATGATACGTGATTCTCGACGTTCACAAAATGTCAACGATTGATATTTTTTCTGCATTGAGATTTTCAAATTAAAAAAAAATCTACAATGAAATATTTTTCAGAAATGAGCTTTAAGTGTTCTTTCAGTTGTTACTTTCTCTTATAAAAGTAACAAAGTGTTGATTGACTTCAAAATGAAGAGGAGCATATCTCGGAAATAAATTTTCAAAAGATGGTATTACACATATCAAACACCCTCAAACACAAAAAGGTGATGGTCGTCACAGCTGCATTGTTTCACATAAATATTCATTCATCATCAATGTCCTATTTTAGTGTCTTCTGACTACCATACATTTCAAAATATTTCGAATGTCTTGTAACTACAAACACCGGGCCGCACTGAAATAAAAAAAATATTTGTCCCCTATTTTATTGTCTATCGTGGTCTTTCTTTTTTCTTTTTATTATTATTATTATGTTTTGTTATGCGTGTGACCGAAAACGACGCCTCCCAGTCCGTGGAAATATGTCTTGCCTGACACCGGTTCGTGGAGCAAAAAGTTTTGGGGATCTCAAGGAGAAAACAATGTTTATTGATAAATATTTACCACTTTAAACGTTATTTTTAGTGGATGCTCGTATTTGAGAAGGCGCTCCGAGATAGTATATTTATTTATTAAATTATTATCGTCTACCGGCCTGAATGTTCGAGAAATCTTATTAAAGAAAACTTACGCTCCCCAGCAAGAATCGAACCTGCGTCCTTCAGGGTAGACGGAGCTACAAGTTTAGCCCGGTTTACCTTACACGGAGCGCTTATTCAAATACGAATATCAACTAAACATAACGTATAAAGTAGGGACCTCCACAAAAAACGCGATACCTAAGGTTTAAAATGAATTTTAGCGGGAGGCTGATCTTCATGTATCTACTTAGCTAGTCTCAATTACTGATCCACTCATCCGACAATGTCTATTCACCATAACGCCAAATTCTTGCATACGATTCTTATTACGGTCACCAAAATATTACAATTATTCTATAACAAAATTTGTTTAATAAGTAAAATCTCTCACAATCCTAAATTGTGACAGATATCAGTTGACCAGTGAACCCCAGAAGGAAACCATTTGTAGCAGGATCTTTGTTGTTAAAAATATATATTTCATTGTAAACTACCTCTGAGAATAGATTGTAATCATCCAGTTTTGATTCGACTACACAATCTTCATTCAATTCCCCAAAGAGGATTAGAATTTTTGTTATCTCAGTTTACCACTTGAGACTGAGAATCATTTATTTCTTCAAAATACGCTTTACTGATCGTGAAATTGTACCTACCCATAGTTTCTCCTCTAGCACGTGAACTATAAAATATTCTTATGAGGTATGTAGTTAATACAACGATTCTTATCTCCTGTTCTAATACCAGCACTATTCTTATTCCACCCACAGTGGTGGTATTAGAATACCACTACTGTAGATGTATGAATAACAAATAAACTTTAGCCTTAGCTTGAACACGAAAAATAATAAATCTGATTCTGAAACGCTTGTTTCACAAACAAATTAACAGATTTTTGATGTCGTGGCTGCTGTAACGTTTTTCAAATAATCTACTTTTGAGGATCATTGAAAAATGTATTCACTTAGAAAAAAATAATCGTTTTTCTTTTTTAAAAAATTGTATAATTTCGAAGCAGTTCATTGATGTTACAGCGACATCCCAACGTAAACAAACTTTTACAATTTGAAGGACTTATTTAGCTGGAATGTTTCTTTTTTCATCCAGCCTTTGCTAATTTTTTTTGTTAAAATTTTGTCTTCCTTTCAGGGCCCAGCGTCTGGTACAAAAACTTTCCGAAGGCTGGCGGAAACCGACAGTCCCCAGTCAACATAGACTCAAAAACCTGTAAATCTCATACATTTAGCCATCCGCTCAAGGCCAATTATTCGAGTGAAGCCAACATGGAAGTCACCAACAACGGATTCACTTTTGTGGCTACAATTAAAGGAGAAAACAGTAAGTGATTCTTATTAATAGCAATAAATAAACGAAAGAAATGAAATCAAATAAAATTTAAGTTTTATGATCATAGTTGTCCGTTTAATCTATTTCATAAGGAGCATTGACCACAGGGCAATGAGTTTAAAAATTGTGGCTTAGATGCGAATCAGAATTAGTAAATCTTTATTTTTCTCGATTTTTTTTTTTTTTTTTTTTTGCCATTTTTTAAAACTCCGTCAAAATAGCTCAAGTTTTTCTAAGAGGTATATGCTACGTTTTTTAAAGATTTCCGTTTCTAATTAATATTAATTAACGCAAATGTCTGACTTCAGGCTAAGTAATGTAGTTTCAAATTCGACCGTTAGTACTATTCTGGCTGTATTTTATCAATATCATTCGTATAAACAAGTGGATGAAAACAACTGAGAAGAATTGACAAGTTTTTAAATGGATAGTTAAACGTATTCTGAAGAAGTCCTTAATTTTTTATCTTGTCAAGGAAAGGCATTTACTTTAATGCTCATTTCAAAATATAAAATGTTATTTGGAATGTCAGGTTTGTTCATATAACATGTCTTTTTGTCGGTCTGAAAGTGTAGATGCCTACTCATTGGCGTGTCAAAAATATATAAAACCATTTCATTTTTATTTTTTTGTTTCAGCGATAATCGTTTTAGCAATGTTAAATTGGAAATTAACCACATTTCATTTACATCCAAGTAGAAAAAAAATCGCAAGCTGCGCGGAAAGATTTTCGTCTTCGAAGTTTGCTGTGTCTGTAACAATGTGTTGATGAAGGTTGAATAGCGTGTTCTTTTGTTTGCTGTTTACTATGCGAGTCAATATGTGGACAGCATGTTAGTACTTCCATAGAGACGAGAAGCTTACCTCTCCCTAACTGATCTTGTTCTTTTAGCATCAACTTAAAGATTAGAACAGAAAGGCGGCGGCTCTCTTCATAAGAATTTCGTGAAAGGTGGATTGGTGGCAGTTCGCGTCTGTCGAGTGAAAGAAGCTGATCTGGAGTGGCATTTTGATGTTGGCTAAGCGTAAGAATTTTGGTCCTCTGGGCTGAATATTTGGCAACCCAGTACGAAATAGGATAGATTTGGGTGGATTATCTTTAGTTTCTTCTTGCCTAGGGGATTTATGTTAATTGATCCTCTTTATTTTTGTCCTCACTTTCTTTAGTTTAATTCCCTCTTCACTTTCTCGTTAGGTGACAGAAATTTCAGTTCTCTAGTGGATGAGTGTTTCGTATTTGTCTGAATGAGTGGTTGAGTAAATATCTGGTTGAATGATTACTTCTATTTTTTTCAGACCCACATTAATTTCGTCTGATTCACCAATGTTCCTGTCACAATTTAAGATAAGGGTGGGCTTTTATTATTAACACTATTTTATTTAATTCTGCAAATAATATTTTATTGTAAATACACATTGGGATTACAGTCAGTTACTTTCTCCCCCTCCAACAGATAAACTGTATATATGAGAGGCAGGAGTTAGAAAAATTGTGGCATTATAATGACTGTGAACAGCAAGTAAGAATATGTTCTTTGATGTTAGGAAAATTGTAGAATTTTGGGGTCAGTGCTCGTGGCTAGCTAAGTTAAATATAGGACAGAAAAATGGCCAGTCCTATCGAATTTTGTCATATTTGTACCTATTGTAAAATAAATATTATGGTGTAAGTTATTTTAAGTTAATTTAAGCAACTATGAAATTTTATTTCAAAGTGACGCATTAAATGTACATAACTTTTTCATTTAATCTGAAACTGTTGCAAACCCTTCACTATTGATCTTCCTCTTCTTTTCTTACATTCTAGGGTGTTAACACTTTAAATCTTTCTATCTTTATTTCTTTCTACATTTTCTCTAAATACTGTGATCTGTCTCTTGTCATCAGGGAATTATTACGTTATGAACTGTGTAACCATGAGAGGGGAAGAAAATGGTTTACACGTGCCAGACTTACAAGTTTATTACAATTTTATCTGTGGTTTTATCAAAATCACTGCTGCTTTATGAAGGATTTGAGAGGAACTTTGAAGATTCTTGCAATAACCGATTCTTAGAGTAAGAAGGTAAGTCGAACAGCTGGCAAACACTTGGCATATTCTGCTATAGTGGAGGGGATATTCCGTTGACCCATTTCACTAAGTTATGGAAATGTTGTTTCTTGCAATTTGGCTTATAAAATATGCTGTAGAATCCTATTTTTAAATCGGCAAATGTCAATGAAAACCAGTTTGAATGTCACTTGCAGACTGATCTGCGTTGGGTGTCTTGAACTTATTGAGAATTACGTTTCGCTCATCTTCGTATCTGCAATCTACCTTTTCTAAAGGATCAGATTGTGATTCACCCACTCACACACACACACACACCAAAACATAATTGGCTCATTCTGTATCACAAAATTGCAAAGATAAATAACATTTTGGTGCTTCTGACTTGGTTATTGTTTCTTCCCATTTCTTGTTGGGAAATGCTTTGAAAGTTTCTTACGTTTAAACAGCTTGTCCTTATTTTTAAGACGTAAATTTACATTTTCGTGAACTTTAGTATTATTTTGGAAAAAAAAATTATCCAACACATTGTCTATGCTTTAGTACATGATTATTCATCAACCTGGCAGAATTTTCGAAAGGAGGCCGTTTCTGTTCATAATCCTAAATTCTCTCGGTTAATTGGTATCCTAGTAGTAGCCTCTGCCGATTAATTCCTCAGGCTTTGATTTTCTATATTTACACTGTGACCATAAACCATTACATTTTATAGATTATTCACAAGAAGTGTTAAAATAACAGCTTCGTTCACAATATATTCGTTAGTTTATGGAAGTTATTGCTTATAGTTTACGTGTTTGTCTTATGATGACGTCCGTTTTCACGGTATATCTCTATTTATTTGGTTTGTTTTTTTTTATGTTGCCTTGTGTAATGATTAAAAGATAGACAAAGTGTTGAACAATAAAAAATCTTTATATAGCACAATGAAATGTGTTATATAACGATTTATTAGCCTTTTCTGAAATGAATTGGGGCAAATCCGCACACATTCTTTCAGAATGGGTTGAAAGTAAAACTTTTTTTCTTTTTTTTGTCTATCCATGCTAAATAATTTTTTGCTTTTGAGCTCTTCTGATAAGAGGATTTGCCTTTAATTCAGTACAAAAATACATTAACAACTTCTGGGAAAATACATTAGCAACTGCTTTGTCAGTGCGCGGCGTAGGTATAGCAACTGTCTGTGTCTGTGACTGGCGTGTCTGTGACTCACCAAGTGCGGCATTCCTAGTCTCGTAAGAGGGAGAAGAGCAAGAGCTCGAGCATCCACCGAAAATCTTTAGAGAGTGGAAGCAGACAACCGGTAAAAGATAACATGTACTCGGAGCACACCTCAACCCTATCCTTTAAGGACAACCGCATTCGGATTCAAGTCCGGACCGCCTGTACCTCCGACCTGTTCTTCCCCAACCGAAGATCCGGCTCCAAGAATGCGCTATATTTATTGCATAAAAAATACAATTGTGGCACACCGCCAAAAGGGGAAGTGGAGTGAGGTTGGTAGGCACTGACTATCCTAAATCTAGCTGATCTGATTCGCGACACATTCATTCATTACTATTTGCTCAATCACCACAAGAATTCATTATTCCGACATACACCATAATACCACATATTCAAAAGAAGTGGGGTCCTACTAAAACCATCCGTGACACAAATATTTTACAATATACAAACGTCCATAAAATATATGACAAGAAATGAATGAGGGGATGAACCCAATAACGAAAATAAAAATGCAAAAAACCATTCAAACTAAAAATAAAATGTTAGTCGGCGCCATTCATCCAACAGAATAACTAAGAGTGGCTGCTGTATTCTACTAATAGGCAAAATCAAGCTGCTCACTCATTAAACGTGAGGGAAGAACAAAATGTGGAGTGGGGAAAATCAAAAGCTGACCGATCAAAATAAAGAGAATAAAAAAAACAAACTGGGGAGGGGGTGGGAAACTTCATATGGAGAATAACGAAAGAGAATGTCAGGAACAACAATTACTCACATTAAGTAGGTAAACAAGGAGTCTAGCTTAACCAGGGAAAGTGTCTAACAGGTTACTAAAAAAGAAAATCAAGACTGTTCACGCGAGCCAGGCTCGCCATTTTCACCCACCTTTGGTTGAAATCTGCCGATAGCAAACGCTTTCTATCAGTTCTGATCTTCATCTTCAGGTGATTCCCAAAGAATCCAACCAGATCCTGATGAGAATAGTGTTCGTATCGTAAGATTCCCTCCATTCTTGCTATGACTAGCAGTTTCAGAAGCACTATCTCTCATTGAGAGCGCGTTCCTGATCAATCACCAGGTAAGCAAAAACTCGGGTTGCTGAGGTAGTTCCCTGCTGGCGCCCAGGACCAGAAAGAGCGCAACTCGGTCGTCGATCAGTCGAATCGCTCACTGAGTGAGTCCGACGCGACATACTCTACTAGTTCCCGATACAATGTCCTCCTACGCCGTGAAAGTTCACTGGACTGCAGAGTATCTCGCAAGACCAATCGGCACTCGTGCAAGAATTCGGACTGTCACCGGGACTTACGAGGGCATTAAGCCTTGAAACTGGGTGATGAAGGCTAGGGAAGGGGGCCCTGGCACTCTTTGCCCAGAGCGAAACTTATTTCAACGCGGGGCGTAGGAAAACCAATTTCTCGGAGTGCTGATGACATTCCAAGTCTGACATTACCAGCACCCCACCCTTGACACGGCTGTTGAACATAGGCCTCTCGGCGTACTATTGACTTGCGACCAACCCACAAGAGGGAAAAGAGCAATCGCTCCATCGTCTTCCTACGTTTCTCAGAGAGGAAGTACTGGCAACCGGTAAAGAATAAAGTGAAAGATGTACTGAAAGCATAGCTGAACCCCACCCTTTAAGGACAACCGCCTTCGGAGCTAAGTCCGAACTGACGCTCCGACTTTTGCCAGTACCTCCAACCAATTCTTCTTCGGCTCGAATAACATTTCAAGAATGCGGACGGTACCGTCTGCCCAACTGAAGGGCCCCGGAAATGCAACGCCCTTCCAAATATCTAATAGCAAGCCGGAAGGCTTATTGCGGTTAATCCTTGCTCCCGTAACCATCTCGTACCGTTCAAGCGCCTCGGCACCAGACAAAAAACTGGATACGCCTTCTGGCTCGAGCTCCGTCAGGGAGATTGATTTCACGTAGGGCCGGACTGCACGTCTTTTTCTTTAAGCGGCACAGGAGATGCTCTAGTACCAAAAGCGTAAAGTAGAGGTTACAGCGGACAATCTGACGAACCGACCGTGACAGTGCAAAAGCGCCAGACCGCTTCCCGTTCTCCGATACAATCGCACTGGGAAAGCGATACAGCATGCTAATCCACTTGCAGAAGTCTGGTTGGAATCCGGTAGCCTGCGGGAGAGCCGTCAGGTAGTGATGGTCGAACTTGTCGAATGCTTTGGACTAATCCAAATTTATCAGCATAGCCTCTTTGTCCTGCGGATCAGGTGCAAGTTGCTCTGGATTGTTCTGCCCTTCACAGCACAAGTCTGCTCCGGTCCCAATTCGACAACTGACTGCAAACACGCCGTCAGTAACTTGGCCAAAATTTGTTAAGCAAAGGTATGAGCTTGTAATCGTCTAGTTCCCCCCCCCCCCACTATGATTGTCCTTTCTCAACAGTGTGATCTAATCAGGGACGGACCTCTGCCAGAACCAGTTCTTGGACACTACTGTCAAAATCGATACAAATATATGCTACATCCCCAAGTACAATTCGTCGGACAGACCATCTAATCCCGGAGACTTGCCACTGCCAACTCTAGTGCCTAGTGGGCCTGACCCTCTGTGATCTCACCCTCATAGCCAGTTACTTCAGTCGACGAGAGTCAGCTCAATAGCTGTGAAACACTTGCTCACAGTAAAACCGGTTCTGGAAATGCTGCTGAAACGCCTCGCACATGTCGTTCGTTAACCAGAGGCTGCATCCATCCTGGGTGTTGACCTGACGAATGTAACGATGGAAACCTCGACAGATTTCCTCCTTGCGTATTCTGTGCTCATGTTCACAGCTTCGTTAATCTAGCCCTAATTTCTTGGTTTTGATAGCGCTCGCTAGCTGAACCGCAACATCGAAGAATGGATAAAATTTATTTATCGATTCTGATTTTGATTGATTTTCCGTCGGTTTATATACACATCTATAGATCCGCTTTGATTCTTACTGGCTTTCGGCCTTATATCCTCGTTGTGAAAGCTTTCTGATTGGCTGGTTGAACTGTGGCTTTGTTTACTTGGTGTTTTTTTTCATTCTTCTTTATATATATATATATATATATATATATATATATATTAGAAATGGTAAAAAGTTTGATCTTGTTATTATTTGTTTATTTTTTCCTTATATCCTGGTTGTAAAAGTGTTTTGATTGGTCGAAATATGGTATTGAAACCTGGCGATTCTAATTATCGGTCTGTTTTTAGAGATGGTGAAACTTTGGTTCCTCTATCACCACAAGTAAATTAGGCTAAATCTAATCCATCAAGAAAAGTATTATAGAACTAATCATAATCTTTTGGCCGTTCTACGTTTACGATATTTTGAGAGTTGATTCGTCGGAGTTAGCAAAATAGCCTTACAAACAGCTATTTTTAAGAATTGTACATAGGCCCGTCACCAAATTATTTTAAGTGGAGGATGTGGTCAGGGGTAGGGCGAGTAGGAATTTGCTCATTAACATTTAGTTTCCATCATTTTCAAAACATGACCCTCCAAGCCCCACCTTTTGACGACAGGCCTGATTGTACAAGAATACTTACGCAGTATTTTTTCTTTGTCGAATTAATTTTATCCACTTTTGAAATCTTAAGTGTTTCCCAGGATTTGTAACAACGCTTTAATTTTTGGGGGTTACTTTAACCTGACTAATTGAATCATATGAATCTAATTCCGACCTACTTCCCAAAATTTGATCACTAAAACATCAAACATCAGATTTTTTTAATGGAAGGAGAGGTGGCTTCTTAGTTGAACCGATTACTTTTCAGCACTCGCTCCTATCTACAAAATAAAAATTCCAGATCACTCCATGAACTTTCTAGTGAGGGACAAACTTAAGAATCATAGTTTGGGAAACTAGCACGCAAACTGCTTTCAATGGTGTAAGTTATCTTTACACTATTTAGATCATTTTATTTACAACCATTCATTGTTAAAAGTTGAAATTAAGTCCCAACTCAAAATGTTACTTTTCAATTTTCATTTAAGTTTTAGCATTGAATTCGTTATAACAAGCAAATATCATCTGCCACAAATAAGTTTCGAAAATTGTTGAAGTGATAAGTAAATATTAGCAGTAATAAAGAAACGAAAAAGAATAATCAAAGTATTCAGTGTTGCTCGTTTCTCGCCATCTTGTCATCTTGAAATTATTCGTCACCTTCAAGTGTTAATTAACTTTTTATTAAATTTTAATTTAATTTTTCGTTCAACTAGAGAAGTTATTAAAATTATCAGTGCTAAAAGAAATATAAATATAGTTTTGCATGTTTTTTTTCTTTGTTTTGTTTTTTTCTTTGTTTTTGTTTTTTTCCATCTCTTCTCAATGAGACTTTGTTTTATTTTAGCTATAAGCGGCGGTCCTTTAGAGACAACTCCTTACAAACTGCATAGTTTCCATTTCCACTGGGGATCGGATGATTCGCACGGATCTGAACATACCATTGATAATAAATCATACCCTGCTGAAGTAAGTAAAAAAAGAATATATATATGAAAGTAAACGCTCTTTTTGGAACATGATGGTTTCGTAGCAGTTGCGACGGAAAGATAAGCATTTGATAAATGACAAGAAAAGATCTTAGAATCTAAGTCGAAGTTTGAACAAAGATGCTTATCATTTTACCATTTCTCTCATCATTGCTGCTCGCCACGCTATATAAATGACTAGCAGTAGAGCCCGGCGTTGCCCGGGGATGTAACAGTAAGAGATAGATCAAGTATCTCAAGTATCCACCATCATAAAGACTGAAAAATAAAATTGACAAAGATTATTGTTTAAGGTTGACGGACACGCATGTCTTAATTAAATTTTTTTTTTTTTTACGAATTGGTCAAACCCAAACTCAAACAAAAACATTGTTTTCAATCGTTATGAGTCTATCGAGTGAATAGAATTTTATTATAAACAATTGTCTTGTAAATGGAATTTTTAAAGCATTCTGAATGTAAAATAAAGAAAAAATTGTGCAAGACAATAAGAAACACTACCTGCCAAAAAAAAAAGTGAAGTTTTGTTGAAATCGGTTGAAAATGTGGAAATCCGATCCCATATATAAACGAACACACACACACACACACACAACCTGGTTTTTTTTATAATAAGTATAACTCGATATGAGTTGTCCCCCTTTCATTCACGTGACAGTGATGCCTCTTAATCGTGTTTTCAAATTGATTTCATGCCAAAAACAATTGTTTTTCCAATTTTGGGCGCTGTCAGAACCAACGCAAGGTAATTTTACGTAGTCCTGTGAAGTTTTGTTGAAATCGGTTGAAAACACACACACACACACACACACACACACACACACACAACCTGGGTTTTATAATAAGTATGATTATGTACAAAAGATTTAGAGAGAAGTGGTATAGTCAATTCAATGAATATAGTTAGGTACGCCACTGACTTTCTATAGTGCCCGCCCCCACGTCGACGAAAACATTTTAAATAATTTAATTGCCTTCTTTGAACTTAAATTTCTGTTCTGTTTGAAAGATAAACCGGATTAAAAGAAAATTAATTTCTGTATATAAAGAAACTAGGTATCACCATGAGATCGTTGAAAAATGAGCATAGCAGGATAATAAAGGCCTTAAACTTGACGAAAACAATTTTATCGTCAAAAGGTTTGTTTTTATTAAAGAGGAAAGAACAAAGTAATTTTTAATTATTTTTCAAAATTTTTCTGTCTTTATTAGAGCATTCTAACTTTTGATTGAAAAACATCGTTTCTCTTTATCAGCCTCACTGCCCTACATAGCGGATTTTTGCGTGTTTTTTTTTTTTTTTAATAGCAGTCATTAATTTTGAAAATCTTGTAAAAATAATTGTCAGTTAGAAACTATTCACAAATGATGGAAATTATTATAAATATGTTTTTTTTTTCTTTTTTTCTTTTTTTTTCTTTTTTTTCCAAAGTCATGGTAAAAAAATTTTTTTATATTTTTATTACCCCACCCCATAATTAATTTTATGAAAACTCATAATTTGTACAGATTTAGTGATTAATTAGTTAAAAGCACAAGGCTTTGAGGAAGGCAAATCATTTTTTTTTTTTAGTTGACACCCTTCTACCTTAAAATCAGCTCTGAATTGTAACATACAAAACTCAATAAAACAAAGATATTATTTAATTTCAAAAGCTTTTAGTTACTTGTTTGTAGGAATATAGATAATATCTGAAAGCAAGAAACGTTTTCGATGAAAAATAAATTTTTACAACAATTATTTGTTATTTCTTAAATTATTTTATTTATCTTTTTCTAAAATTAATGAAAATCTTATACACCTTAGTCAGTGGTGTTATTAAGTAGATGAATATCATTTACAGATTATAAAATAAAGTTGGTTACAATCACAAAGTTGCCAATAGCTGTTTTTTGTGCCCCAAAATAGCTAAAATTCAAATATACGGAAGACCGGAAGCATCATGAAAACAATAGTCTGTCACGTGATTTGCGTTGGTAGTAACATAAACATTTTGACGATAAAATTCTGCTTTCGTCAAGTTTAAGGCTGTTTTTATCATGCTATACCTACTTAAAAAATAACGAGGTAAATAAGTTGTTCACTACAGTCAGTTGTGACCTTCCATACTATAACTTTTCCTCCCGTAAGATGAAATTACGCACATGTCACTTGTCAATCAACACCTCTGTTAAGCCCGGCTTTATCATTTGAAAGTACTTTTTTTTTTTTTTTTCAGCGCAGAAAGTAAATGTTTGTTTCAAAAATACATTAAATAAACTTCATAATTTCTAATTTTCTTAAATTAATTAAAAAAAAAAATCATTGATTTTTTTTTTTAAAACGAATTTTAAACTGAAAATTTTACTTTCGTAAACAAAAGTTAAAAAAATGGCTCATTGAAAATAACATTTGATTTACGCACGATAGCCTGAAGTCAAAGGACAAAAATAAAAAATATATATATTGTCGATCGTTGTCCTGAAAAAACGCACGAAAAAGTAAAATATAACCCAAAGATCAGCAGCACAATAATCAAGAACTTGTTATTTATATTTAAGTGCCATTTCTTTAGCTTTATATAACCAATTGTTTAAGAATATAATTTCTTATGCTTTTACTAAAGTTAGTTTAATGAATAAATTAAGACGCTACCCAAACACAAATATAGCATAAATGTAATTTAAGTTAGATTAATTATGAAACGAAAAATATTTATTCCAAGAGTAATTTTTTTTTTAAAAATTACAGTATAAATAAAAAAAATTATGCAGGAAGAGACAGATTTGTTTTTAAAATAAAAAAATTAAAAGAACTATTTATGTTTAATTGCTGAAATAAGTAATTGTTATTCTTGTATATAAGAATCTGTAAATAAATGTAGGAAAACAGAAATACGGGAAAAATAAACCCGTACCGATGGATTGGAAAACAGTGCTTTCAAGACACAAAAACTGACTGAACGGGAAATCTTAAATTAATGTCAAAATACTCTTCCGGTATTGAATAGCAGTCCGTCAAAGCGAGATATCAAATGTCCTTACTTTATATATATATAGATATAAAAAAAAATAACAGTTGCTAAAAAGAAAAAAAAATTCTTTTTAAAAGCGTATTAAAAGAAAAAAAATCTGCCTGTGGTAGATAACACCTGCTGATAGAAAGATGGCTCCATTTATCTGATAATAATAGGTAAAAATCCAAAATGGAATTTAAGTACCGTAGCGGACAGGTCCTAACGATCACGAACAAAACAGATGTGTTTTAGCCTACTCCAAAAACAGGTGGTGCTGGACACGAGCAAACCTGAATGATGCATGGGCAAGAAGTTATCGGAAGAAGATATGAGAAGCACCAGACAATCTCTCAACGGACACATGTATTTGGATATCGTCTCCGATGCCATATCTTTTAACTGCTAAAAGAATACACTTTTAGCCACCCTCTATTCTCGTTGTATAATGTCTTTCTAATATAAAGTATGCTTTTTAAACTGTTCAATTGTCTCATCATTGTTCATTTGCCACGACTCAATTTGTGACTCGTTAAATTTCCCCACACATGTTCACACTTGAAAATAGCATTAAACTTTACATTTTTGATTCTTCAAACATGTCTTTATTTAGTTAAAGAGTCTTGTGATGAATTTCAAAATCAGACTGAAGAATTACAAGTATTTTTTTTAATAATTAACTGGATTTTTTCTATCCAATCTGAAAGAAAAGAAAGCGTTTAATTTAATTATGCAAGCACTAATTCTTAATTTTTTTTATTAGCTTTATTGAATTTGGTAAAATGTAGGACTAATTAATAGTGACGTGGGGTTCAGGGATTAAAATGAACTGTTGATTTACCCACGCCAAGAATATTAATGAAAGGTGATAATAACGAGGAAACACACTGGTAATTTTAAAACAAGATAAGAATTTATTTATGAATTTACATGATTGAAGTTGTGTCAAAAGCTCGTTTCAGGAAAATAAATCAGAAATATTGAAAGTCCGTAGTTTTAATGAATTGTCATGAAGAGGAAATGTTTATACAACGGATTAAAAGATCTGACACAAAATAATATTCAAATATATTTAAATCCAAGGTAAGAGAGTTCGTTGCTCACAGGAGTGTACGGTTTGCATACGTTCAAAAGTAGAGGAAGAGAGTTTGAAATACTTAGCTTTCTTGGATTGTTGAGAGAACATTCTTTGAAGTGCAGAGTGCTTGGTTAAAAGCCGATAATATAATTGGCTAGAACTTCAACGCTGGTTGCTAGGAACTGAAACGAAACCTCTTACATGACTTCAGACGTTCTATTTAATGTTTCTCATTTTATATCAAAAGGATTTTTTTTTCTTTGTTCAACAGCTAATTTCTGTGAAGACAAGGTTATCGCAGCCGGCCAGAAGTTACTGCCGGCTACTCAAACGTCTGAAAGCCTCACCACGGAAAACAGAACGAATGCCGTTAATTTCCGGTGACTCAGCGTTTTCAGAAATCGAAACACAAAAAGCAAAATAAAATGAAACATAAACATACACAAGTCCTCCTAACTAAAAATAATGACCAGAAACTAATTTCTATACACATGGTGTCCAAATGAAACCCATGTGTACATTCAAAACGTGGAAGGTAATTTTTTAGTCGACAACCAAAAGATGTTAACCAGGCAACGGTGCCTAACCGCGGCCGAGACAAAACACAGCTGATTTCTTCCACCAACAAGACGGTTCCAGGGTAAAGCGACGCGATCCCCCTCTCATATTCACCTGGCCGACCCTCGTCGCTGACCACTGAAGAAGCCAAACCTAGCAGCAGCCACCACCAGTGAAGCCAGCCTCTCCCCGTCATGCAACCGAACTCAGCAGCCCAAGTCACATTCTTATGCGATAGTCCTTCTAAGGACTACTAAACCACATTCTTATGCGACCATCATCCTAAGGACGAACAGGCTACCTCAGCACTGCCTACGCCGATTGTCTCTCTTCGTGAACGCCGACGCAGTCCTCTTAAGGGTGAACATCCGAGGATCGACTGGACCTCGAATACAGCTGTTCCATCTGCCTTGCCTCTGAGCTACCGCCCTGAACCAAAACGATCCCTCACCTGGCACTCCCCGACTTCACGTTTGAACTACTCCAAACAGTTCCTGTGCATACTTTTGCCAGATTAATAAATAAAATTTGGCTTAGATTTTGAAATCCTCGCCTTCGTTGTCCTTGCTTCGATCGTATTACCCTATATCATTTTTCTGCTTGCGGCGTTAACAGCACCTGCTTGACGCCCCGTAACAACGTTTTCATTGGTCCAAAGAAAATTTCACATAGGTTTGCGAATTCCTTCCTGTTTTTTTTCCTGACTCCTCCGAATTTGAAGGGAGTCTGTAAAGGGAGTTATTTCGCACTCACTTCAAATTTTTCGTATGTTCACACATGATATTGCATAAATTTTTTTACTGAAATCTTCAGGGATTTTTCTTTATATAACTGTAAGAAAAAAATTGAACGACTCCATCCAATTAAAAGTACGCACGTGATATCGAAAGACACAGAAATATTTCCCGAATGTTTTTTTTTAAAAAAAATAAAATATAACTTATATTCAGTAAAAAAAAAAAAAAAAATCTTTAAATGAATAAGTACTGAAAATTTTGTTTGAATATGATAATTCCCTAATTTTTGGCAAATATTTTAAAACAGAATAGAGATTTTTTTTTTTTTGCTTTCATTTCAGGAAAAAACTTTAAAAAATAGTAGCTACAAGTTTGTTTCATTGAAAATAACGGATATGGTATTTTTATATGAAGTTTTTATTGTATTTTTTGTCGGCAAACAATTAGACATTTTATGTTGTTAGAGGCAATGAGTATTTCAATGAGTATTTTGGGTATCGAAATTGCTAAGTTGTCAACGGCTGCACAAGAAGCTTTTATTGATGGAATTCCTTTATTAAAAACAAACACTTGCGAAGGGCATACCATAAAAAAAAAATTGTCCCATCCTTTACCAAAAATAAAAAATTAAAAAATATTGATTATATAGTTAAAGAATTAAACATTAAAAGTTTCTAGATTCTAGTAGTTTTTGTACTTCGTACTTGATTCAGTTTTACACGCCTTTTAACAGGTTGTGTGACAGTAGAAAACTGTTTTTAACCTATAACTTTTGAATAAAGCTCGTGAGACACCGTGCGTAAATAAATGTTATTTTCGTCATGTCATGCAAAAAGTGTTATTTTTACAAAGTACAGTAAATTAATCTTTAAAATTACTAATTTACTTCGATACAAATCTCTAACGGTTTGTGGGTTAAATTTTGTTCATTTTTTATGGCCATTTAGTCTCAAGCGGTGAACTACCAAAATTGTTTGAAGTGTTTCGGATTTTTGTTTTTGAATACTTGAAGAGGGTTTATTTATATATATATATATATATATATATATATATATATATATATATATATATATATATATATAAGTTCGATGGTTCTCATATATGAGAAACAAGTTTGCTGGCCAATATCAAATTTGGGCTTGAGTAGATATTACGGTCAGTTTTTCAATAAAAAGCACTGCTATCAGCGAATGGCGGTGAAGAAGAAAAGAAAGGAGACTAAGATGTGATGTTGATGAGAATGAACAGAGCCTAGCACCTGCACTTCAAAAGTCGGTCCAGCCAGAGGTCATAAATCAGACCTAATAGATACAAAGCAGATTCCTACACCAGAAGATTTCAAACCAAAGATACAAGTAAATGTGGGACAAAATTCTAAGAATCCTGGAATAAACAGGTTGAAAACAAAAAAAAAACTCCTTCGAGGTGAGACGCCCTGTTTGTGTATATTGTTAAGAACAGTAATGGGTTCTATTTGAAAAAAAATTCTGCTTTTGTTATTTTTCTCTAATAGTTTCTCCCGTTTTCTCGATTTTTGAAGGGATTTTTGTATGTGAATCCATTTCTTATCTAACAAATTGCATCACATTTTTTTCTTGTTTCTGTGTGGAATATCTTTTTTGTTACCTTAGGAAAGCGCTATCCTGCTCAAAGAGGCGCACTAAAGGAACTTTTTGTGCAACTCTTGTATAAATTTTCGAATTTATTAATCTTACTTATTATAAAACGCAGATTGTGTGTGTGTGTGTGTATGTGTGTGTGCAACGTTTATATATTGGATCGGATTTCTTACATTTTTCAACCGATTTCAACAAAACTTCACAGGACTACATAAAATTACCTTGTGGTGGTTCTAACAGCGCCAAAAAATGGGAAAAATATAATTGTTTTTGCACAAAATCAATTTGAAAACACGATTAAGAGACATCGTGAAAATGAAAGGGGGACAACTCACATTGGGTTGTTTGTGTGTGTGGGTTCCTTTAAATATGGGAGCGGATTTCCTATATTTTTCAGCCGATAAAAAAAAAAACTTTTTTTTTTTTTTTTTTTTTGGCAGGTAGTGTTTTTATTCTCTTGCACATTTTTTTTTTCTTTATTTTTTAACATTCAGAATGCTTTAAAAATTCCATTTACAAGACAATTATTTATAATAAAATTCTATTCAATTGGGAGACTCATAACGATTGAAAACAATGTTTTTGTTTGAGTTTGGGTTTGACCAATTCGTAAAAAATAAAAAAATAAAAAACTAAGTAAGACATGCGTGTCCGTCAACCTTAAACAATAACCTAACGATCTCTACTGATTGTACGAATACAAACATCGGAATAAATTCTTTATCTTTAGGGAAAGATAATGAAATCTAAACATACACAAGTCCTAACTAAAAATAATAACCGGGACGGGAAACTACTTTAAATACACATGGTGTCCAATTTTTTTTACAGTATTCAATAAGTAAAAATCATGAATTGTAAAAGATTATTATTACAGAA